AGCCGAGTTCGAATTGCAGTCGAATCCATCACATTCACTTACGTGCTCTTCTTCCGCCACCAGCTATGGCCAAATAGCCTTGGATGGCAACTGATCTACCGGAGAAAGAAATGGTAACCTACTGCGGGAAAAAATCTGCCTCATCAGTCATAACAAGTCCAATGTAAAAAAAAATAATTTAAGAAATAACAAATAATTGTTGTAATAATTTATTTTTCATCGAAAACGTTTTTTGCTTTCAGACAATATCCATATTCATAAAAACAAGTAAAAGCAACTACAAGCTTTTGAAATTAAATAATATCTTTGTTTTATTGAGCTTTGTATCTTACAATTCAGAGCTGATTTTAAGGTAGAAGGGTGTCAACTAGAAAAAAAGATTTGCTTTCCTCAAAGCCTTGTGCTTTTAACTAATTAATCACTAAAAATGTACATATTTAAATTTCAAGAGTTTTCATAAAATTACTTATGGGGATAATAAATATAAAAAAAAAGGTTTTACCATGATTTTAAGAAAAAATAAACATATTTATAAAAATTTCCATCATCTATAAAGAGTTTCTGAAAATAGTTTCATTAAAATCCAACAATTATTTTTATTTTTGCAAGATTTTCAAAATTAATGACTGCCATTAAAAAAGAATGCACAAAAAATCCGCCATGTTATTTAGTAGAACTTTCGCTGATGAAGAGAAACAAGGTTTTTCAATCAAAAGTTAGAATGCTCTAATAAAGACAGAAAAAATTTGAAAAATAATTAAAAATAACTTTGTTCTTTCCTCTTAATAAAAACATAAACATTTTGACGATAAAATTTTGTTTCCTTCAAGTTTAAGGCCGTTATTATCCTGCTATGCTCATTTTCCAGCGATCTCATGTTGGTACCTAATATATATATATATATATATATATATATATATATATATATATATATATATATATATATATATACAATCAATCAGTCCAGTATATATATATATATATATATATATATATAACATACAATCAGTCAGTCAGCATATATATACATATATATTGCACAATAAAGTTGATATAATTTTTCAGAATATACTTATATTTACATGATAAATATAGCATTTGATTCTCAGTACATCAAGTCTTTTACAATAACGTTCTTGGGGATTTGAGATTTAATAAGCATGTTTGTTCATATTGTAAAGAAATATACATTAGTGTAAATCTTGTGTCTTAAAAATACATTCGAAGTCTATATCCGGCTATTCGCTGGAAACTTTTGCACACACTCAATGCATATATGAATCAACAAGCAATGAAGAATCGGCACACGTGCTAAAAGAGATCAGATCAAAACCGAATACAAAAAAAAAAACTCGAAGAAAAATTCCGACCGACAACTTTCTATTATCTTGATTCGTTTTTAGTCACGTTATCTCTTTAAGACGTAACAAGCCAATAAATGTTTGTAAAACGATATAAAATAACCTGAAAACATCTAATAGAGAAAATTAACTGTTGTCTGGATACAAAAAAAAAAAAAAAAAAAAAAAACTCCGGCTGTGATATCGTGAAGAAAATAAACGGCATGCGTTGTATTTGTTATTGCCGAGACGCTAACGGCATTTCCTGGCAAAAATGCTGGCTCAACCACCAATCAGATTGCATCAATATCTAATTAGACGTCACCCTGGCCCCTGCTTCTTAAGCTGACCACTTCAAGTATCGCTAAATCTTTCCACGTTCCCTAGCCGCCGCCGCCGGCACGATCCGAGATTTGCACTGACTGGTCGATTTATGACTGACAGCCAGAGTATCGTATCCAAACAAGACAAAAGATTAAACGCCGTGTACATTATACTCACATATATTAGCACAAGGCGGATGGTTACAAGCCATAATTCGCGCTAGCTTTCGTCAAAAATCACTGATTAACCATGTTCAATCTGTTACGCCGTCCTAAAGCTGTCCAGTATTGCTCTCATTTCGCAATTTTGATCGACCCGAAAGGCATTTCGGACTCTCGAAATTATTGACGGAATAGCGCGCTTAGACGAAAGTGGGATCTGATGACTAGTTTGCGGACGTCGCTGTTAGAAACAATGAAGACAGTTCGTTCCGTCAGACCGCCTGACAGGTCATTGTCTTTGATTAACCATGTTCGTGCCTATCATATCCTGCAGCCGGGTTACAATTTAGAGGATTTCTCAATTTCGAATAACCTAGTGGGCACTCTCCGGCCTGTTGTAAATTGTTGGGGCTGACGTTGCTTTATGAGGAAGGCCATGTCTATTCGACGTTCTCTGTTTTCCCAATTTGCCATTCGACGGCTGTCTTTTCTTTTCTTTCCTTTCAGCTCTTTATTGTTCATTGAGGTAATAATTGTTTAGAGAATGTTTGAGTCTACACTGGTAGACATTATCGGATTGTATAAGGTGTGAATAAGCTCCAGACACCTTGGAGATGTCGAACATGCATCTGTGCATATATTCACATGTATTATTGCAGTATATACGCACAAACGCTTACACCTAAAAGCACTAACATGTGACGTCTGATACGAGTATATAAACTCTTTCTGTCTGGTCTCTTCAGTGCATTGGCGATCATGGCTTCCCACAATTGCTTGTCCTTTGTAGCACTTAGTAAATTTTGTCGTTTTGTTATCTCTCCTAAACCCTCTTCTGCCTTTCATTTTCACAAGCTCCTTAGGTCAGGTTATGCGCCGTTTTCCTCTATCCTTCTTTGCCTTCAATCTGTCCTGTGAGTATCAAATTTTCCAAGCCCTCTTTCCTCATTATCTGCCCTAGAAATTTCAACTCTCTCTTCCTGATGTTAAGTATAAGTGTCCTTTTTGTTTCTATTTTCTATAAAACTTGCTAGGTAGGTTATGCATTGTTTTCCTCTATCCCTCTTTGCCTTTCAATCTGTCCTGTGAGTATCAAATTTTCCAAGCCCTCTTTCCTCATTATCTGCCCTAGAAATTTCAACTGCATCTTTCTGATGTTAAGTATAAGTGTCCTTTTTGTTTCCATTTTCTCTAAAACTTGCTAGGTAGGTTATGCGTTGTTTTCATCTATCCCTCTTTGCCTTCAATCTATCCTGTGAGTATCAAATTTTCCAAGCCCTCTTTCCTCATTATGTGCCCTTGAAATGTCAACGGTATCTTCCTGATGTTAAGTATGTGTCCTTTTTGCTTTAATTTTCTCTAATGCTTTTCTCGTTGCATTTCAGTTGTTTCAAGTCTCTTCTTCATCTGTGAGGTGCTTGTCCAGTATTCACTGCCAGAGAGGAGGACCGACATTACATAACAGTTCAGTGCCCTTTTCTTCGTTTCTAACATAATTTTCTGGTTTCTCAATATTTTGCTTTGCTTCTGGAAGGTAACTTTTGATATTCTAATACAACTTCCGATTTCATTATTACACTTTCTGTCCTCTGTTAAAACACATCTTACCTTTTTATATTTTTATATTTGCTTGATTTTGCCGTCTCCAATTTGTAGTTTGCAACTCGGGGTGTTCCTTTTTGCTGACAATTATACATTCTGTCTTCTTTAGAATTGATGTTTAGTTTTTTCTTCACAATTTTTCTCGGCCGTATCTATCTTAAATATTTATAAGTCTACCATTCGTCCATGCCTGGAACATTGATGCCACATTTGGTCCGGTGCTCCTGCTTTATATTTAGAGATTCTTGATAAAATCCAAAGACAAAACAGCAATATTATTGGCCCTGACCTGGCGTCTCGGCTTCAGTCACTTTCCCATCTCTGTAAAGTTGATTCCCTGTACCTTTTCTATAAATACTTTCATAGTAATTGTTTGAATGAGCTTTTCGCTATGGTAAGTAGTTAGTATTTTCATAGAGACAAAGAGGTATTATGGTGGTTGTAGTAAGAAAGTTACGTATGAATGTGTTGTTTTGGTGTAAGGAATATTGTTCGTACGATTGGGTCAGTGTTTGCGGCTAGCTAAGTTATACTTAAGGCAGAAGAAGACCGTCCTTTCCCCAATCCCCTTTTCGGCCATGTGCCACATTTCTGTATTAAACAGAATAAATATCACTCTTCGCTATGGTAAATAGATTTGTATTCATATTGTAAATACTCATTGGGGCTAGTTTTTAAATTGTTGTTTTATTCCCCTCTCCCCACAGACAATGAATTGTACATACGGGGACTAGTTAGGCCTTTCATGGAGACAATGAGGTATTATGATGGATGTAGTAAGAAAGGTAAGTAAGAATGCATTGTTTTGGGGTAATTGTATGTCTGGGTCAGTATTTGTGGCTAATTAAGTTTAACGTTAAGAAAGAAGAAGACCGTCCTTTTCCCCATTTCTCATTTTGGCCTTGTGCCACATTTTCTGTATTTGAAGCGGAATTCTTTCGCTCTTCGCGATGATACCTAGACTTTATAAATTTAAACACAGTACTAGATTAGCAACAAGGCTCCATTGGTTTACAGTTGAATTGGATAAATGTAACCGTAAATTCTATGCTAACAATTTCTTTTTTCAGAGTTCTCGCTTGTGGAAATCTCTTCCGGCTTTCCAAACAAGTTTGATCTTCAAGAGTTTAAATGCAATGTCAATCGTTATCTACTTCCTGGTTACTCTTCTTTTGTACTCGCTCCTCAATAGTGCTTCTTTTATTTTCTAATTCTTTCACACCCTATTGGCTTTACTTCCTTACATGGGGTGAATTGGATTAAAAAAATGTATGAAACTATTTTTCTCTAAGTAATTTTTTTTCAATGAAGTATTATGGTTGATGTAGTAAGAAAGGTAAGTAAGAATGTGTTGTTTTGGTGTTAGGAATATTGTGGTATGTTAAATAATATACTTATGGAGAATCATGGTCAGCTTGATCCTGAAGGAATATAGTATAAAAAAGAATGATGTTGATGCAAAAGATTTCAACGCCGAATTGGGGGTTTTTTGTTGTTGTTTTTTTTTTTTTCTTTTTTTGAAAATCTCAATTCACCAAATAATCTATCAGCTTCCTGTCTAATTAGAATGTCTTACGGACATATCACTTTATAACACCGGTTCACGTACGATCACAGAAGTTAAGCAACATCGAGCCTGGTCAGCACCTAGATGGGGACCACTTGTGAATACCAAGTGCTGTAAACATGAATGTGCGAATAAAGGAATGAATAATGGCTTGGAATGGTTAATCGGAGAGCCGAGTTCTAATTCCAGTTGGGTTCGTTATATTCACTTACATACAAATAACCCTTGGGAAAGTTATGAAGGCACCTCTCCTCCATAAAAGCTATGGGTTAATTAGTAAGACTTCTATCACTGTATGATTATCCCAAAAATAAATTCTCGCAATCTGAAATATTTTCTGTTTTTAAATAACCTAAAAACAGATGATAAACCGTAAAAAAAAACGATCAATCAATTATAACTGATGACTTTTGTTACATCTAAGCTACGCTTAGTAAATCACTACACCTACTATAGGTCTGAATTCCTAGAGTGTATATGATAAGTTGTCAGTATCAGTAAGTATAATATTTATATAAGCTTTATCTGAAGAATGAATACTTAAGACGATGAATTGTATAACTTTGTTTGTGATGGAAGATAATACGGTTAAAGGAACCATCAAACATATTCTGCTCAAATCCTTTAATCAGCGGGGTAAGTGATGGTGTTGACTGCGTAAATTGTTGATTGTGTTTTTGTGTTGTTGTTGTTGAATCAACATCACTTGACAAGACACCGGATGTGTTGAAACAAAATGGCTATTTTTGCAGGGATGTTATAACATGCTCATGTCATAATTTTTAAATAAATATTATTCGCTCTATTTTGTATTGTGCACCTTTTTAAAAATAGTGGTTTTAGTTATTAGAATTTTATTCCATTTATACCAACCCTGTATTCTTATATATATATATATATATATATATATATATATATATATATATATATATATATATATATATATATATATATCTTTCATCAGAACCATTTTTAACATCTAACACAGTGAATCCCAACTACGATATCTGTTATAATAAATCTAATCACGAGAAATATTAGAATACAATACAAGAGCTCATCGCATAGAGTAAATTGAAGAAGCCTTGAAGTAATCAGAGTATACCTCAGCAGAGATGTAATTTAGGAAATGCAAATATTGTCCAATATCACATTGAGAAGGAATAAAAACGCAAGGGATTTATTACAATTCGGATAAACGGTGTCGCCATTCTTTCGGTATTTAACATGATAGCCGTGTGTATAATCACGATAAGTACGCTTTACACTTCTTGATTGAAGAATAGGATTAATATTTACACATCATGTTTTCATAATTCTAATCAACACTTTTTCATTCTACTTTTTTTTGTTTGTTTGTTTGTTTATCGTCCGACGTGGAGGTGAAGAATATAGGTTAAAAGCTAGAGGTTAACTGACAAGCAAGATGGCGTACGAAATCGCCTGCCGCCTTCAATTTAAATGTTTATCACCATTTTTATATTTTCTTCTTTTTCTTCTTAATAAATAGGATTCTTCTTGATAGATTATTATTATTATTATTATTATTATTATTCCTCTTCTTCTTAATGAAAACAGAATTTTCTTATTCTTGATAAATAATTTTCTTCTTCTTGATAGAGTTCTTTTTTATCATTATTATCATTCTCATTATGCAAATATTATCCAATATCACATTGAGAAGGAATAAAATAGCAAAGGATTTATTCGAATAAACGCCGTCGCCATTTTATTTTTTTTTAATTTAACTTTTTAAAATTTGTCCTTTATTTGAATAAATGAATATTAACCTTTTTTTTCATATAACTGCATTCAACATTCTTTGTTTAATTCTATTTTTTATAAAGTTATATTAAATTATTAATTAATGGCACATTCGACCAAACATTTTAGAAATCGCGGAAAAACACCAGCCACAGTCTTCATAGTAAATAAACTGCAGAAATAATTGAATTGAATCATTGAAATTTAAACACCTTGACATGACCACTGGAATTGGATATTTTTATGTGAATGAATATCGTCACTATTTTATATGTTATAATAAAGCTAATCACACCATTTCAGCTGTTATACTCTGCAACGATCTTCAGGTGTATATTGTAGTTCATATCCCTCCGGGAATTTTAGATTGAGCCCTTTATTCAGTCAACAGGGTAAGTTGTCCTCATTCTATACTCTCCATGCTTATGAGATATCTTGTGTCATTTAATTCTTTCATCCTTGTGATCTTTGCTTGTCCCTCTCACCGCACCGATGTATATGACAAATAACATTAAGTTTTAAGGACTACCGGATGTTCTATAAGACACGTGATCTGATGGATAAAAGCATATCAAGTCATGTGGTAGTTGTAAGTTCAATCCCTGAGGTGGGTAGTCGAAAAACTTATACATTTTGGTTAAGTTGAAGAGACAAGCAACTTTTTTTTCATATAATTGTAGTCGGTGGTCTTTGTTTAATGTTGAAACTTGAATAAAGCATGGAATAATAATAATACAACACAAAATGTACTTAAACAAAATGTATTGAAACAAGAACGTATACACAATATTTACAGATAGTTTTAGTATATTCTTGGGAAGACCGTTCCTGTAGAATGGGTTGACTTAGTCGCAGTCGGGCAGAGTCTCTCGATTGGATCTCTTCTTACTTCCCTCGTCTTCCCGGTACCAACCATATTTATATGGTCGGTACTCCACTATGTAAATTAGGTGGATCGTACCACAACATTTAATTCGAAATTTATGGTTTTATCTCAGAACATTTAAAGGTATACACTTTAAAAAAATTTTTCGAAGTGTGCCGTGATATTTTCATTTGCTTCTAGGTGTGCCGTTGCTTAAAAAGGTTGAGAAACACGGATCTACCACGTAAAGTCCAGAGTGTACGGATATCAGTACGGAATGTAAAATCGATGATCCATATTCAAATTCTGGTCGATAATGTTTCGTTCATTTCGAGCTAAGGCCCATGGGAAAGGCTTGAACCCATCTCCTCCCAACTTTGGATCAAATAGCAAGACGGAGTGTGCGCTTTTGCATTGAGGTGGCAACTAATCTAGGATGAGGAAAACTTGAAACTTAAACTAGAGGAGGTCTGTTTAGAGATTTTATGGCACACTGTGAACCATTTCTCTGATACCAGCATTTCCGAAAAGTGAAACTGCTTCTACACATGTGCATATTTAAAGAGACCCCCCCAACGAACACAAATACACACAATTTCGATATATGCACAAGAATAATACTCAGAATATCTCCTATTTATTTCCACAGATTCAACAGATTGAGAATTCAGAGTAACACTGTTAGATGGAACCTACAAAACGCTATTTATGAACATAGTCACCACCGCTGGCTATGCATTTTTGCCAGATATGAACAAGAGCCTGTATGCCACACACCTAAAAGCTTGCACCAATGGAGGCGATCCTCTTTTTCCACGAAGCTTAGATATCTGCTAAAAGACATGACTCGCCGCCTTACTGCGCTCACATCCAGTCTTTGGTCTCTGTAAATGTTCGGCAGTCGATGAATATTAACAGGTTTCATTTTTTCCACATAGAGACATAAAATAACACCACCTCTTCAAATATAGAAACATCTATAATTGTAGTTTTTGTCTGTAATTGTTAAGGTCTTACATTTTAAAAACAGCGTGACGAATAGACGAAAGCGCTCAGTTAGAACCTTATAGATGGTTCTTTTATACACAGATTTCCACAGATTCAACAGATCGAGAATTCAGAGTAACACTGTTAGGCAGAACCTACAAAATGCTATTTATGAACATAGTCACTGGCTATGCATTTTTGCCAGATATGGACAAGAGCCTGTATGCCACACACCTAAAATCCTGCACCAACAGAGGCGATCAAAGAACGATTAATAAAAAAAAAGGTTAAAAAGAATATTGTTCGTGGAGTTTAATCAGGATTGTACTTTACTCCCCCTTAACACATTAATGCTCATCATCCTATTTTTAAAAATCAATAGGTTAAAGAAAAATTAGGACATTAGGTATACACTCGGGTCTTAAGTAAAGGTTGAAATAAGCAAGGGTTGCATTTCTTCACGTTCTGATATGTAAGTGGGGCATGGAATGCGGGATTAAAAGGATCTAATGAGTGAGTAGGATTGGACTAAAATTGGGTTTATTTGAATAAAGGAATAGTATAAAAATATACAGTAAATTATTTAAAGCGAGTTAAAACAATTTTCTTCTATAATTTGGACCAATTTTAAAATGGGAATTAAGTTTAAGCATCTAATGATTTATTTTCTTTTTCTTTCAGATTTAACAACTTAAGTCTTTGGCAATTTCAACCCTGGAAAGATTAACAATCAAACACCGTGTTAAAGTTATCGAAGTCTATTACATAAATGAACGTTCAAACAAATTCAATGAGAAGTTCCCGGGTAGCATCATCTCTCGAAACAACGAAGTCAATTGGCCACCACGACTGTGCGACTTGACGCCTTTAGATCTCATCCTGTGGGGTCATATTTATGAAGCTAAGGGTCCTAAATATTATTTGAGTCGGGTTGGGTTGGTGGATTTTACGATATATCAACCGATATTGTTATTTAATGTTGAAATCAGTTATTTTATTCCAATAACTTGGAACGATTTTAAAATGTGAATTAAGTTTAAGCGTCTAACGATTTTTTTTTCTTTTTCTTTCAGATTTAACTGCTTAAGTCCTTGGCAATTTACACCATCGAAAGATGGTCTTATCGAAGTATAAAAGTATATCTTTATAGTAAAAATACCAGCAATATATTTTATCTAAAAAATACCAACAATATCTATTTATAATTAAATGACCAACAATGCATTTTATCAGTAGTTGAATGCATACAATTACCTTCAAACATATTTAGTTGAAGCCATAAAATTGCGTGCAAAATATTTAGATTTCGGTATTAAATAACCCATAAAGGTTGATACCTCGCTAAACAAAATCGACCAACATGAAAGAACACTTTCGTGACATTAATCCATATAATATCTTAGAATTTCTTAAAGAAATCAAACTATATTCCAAAATATAACTTCAACAAAACTACAACATAAAACACACATATCACCACCTCTAGTCATTATGCCCACAC